ATAGTGCGCATATTCATAAGCTATGTATGTATGTATTTATGTGTGTGTGTGTGTGTGTGTGTGTGTGTGTATATATATATATATATATATATATATATATATATATATATATATATATATATATATATATATATATATATATATATATATTTTTTTTTTTTTTTTACTTTTAAAAAATATTAATAAATTATATATGAATAAATATTAATGCAATAAATATTAAAGAAAATCTTTTCTTTTTCTGTTTAAAAGAAAAATTCATTTTAAACAAGTCAAATCAAGGGAGAGTAACTAGTTACAGAATTGTAAGCTGATTATTATTATTATTGTTTATTATTATTTTATTTTAAATTCGCTAATTAACATAATGATTTAAAAATCCTTATTTTGTATATTGACACAAGACTTAAACCAAAGTACTTTATACCCTATAGGTTTCTTTATTCCTGAACACAAAAATTTATATTTTGAAGAAACTTAAAACTGGGAACCATTGACATCCATATAGGAAAAACAAATACTGTGAAAGTAAATGGTTACAGGTTTCCAGCTTGAAAATGTTTGTTTTTTTCCCCAGCAGAAATAAGAAATTCATTTAAGAGGTTATTTATAAGTAATTTTTAAACTTTGCAAATTTCCAGCCCTATACTGTGTACATTATAATTTTTTAAAAAGCATGAAAGTTTATTTCTGCAAAAGAATGAATAAATTAATTAATATATTTTAAAATACATACATACATCTATACATATACACACACACACACACACACACACACACACACACACACACACACATATATATATATATATATATATATATATATATATATATATATATATATATATATATATATATATATATATATATATATATATATATATATATATGTATATATGTATAAATATATATACATATATATACAAACCTTTAAAAATAATAATAAATTATACATAAATAAATATGAATATAAATGAAATAAATAATAAAGAAAATATTTCTTCTGTTTAAAAGAAAAATAAACTTAAACAGGTTTTAAACAAGGGAGAGTAAATGGTTACAGAATTAAATGTTTTTGGGTGAACTACCCTTTTAAGCATCAAGTGTCACATACATGATCTATCATAAACAATTCTAATATGCTAAATTTGTTCTGATTGTTATTATTTTTGGAGATTATTATTTTATATTTGCTAATTAACATAATGATTTCAAAATCCTTATTTTGTATATTGACACAGGACTTAAACCAGACAAAATTACTTGATACCCTGCAGGTTTCATTATTCCATTAAACACAAAAATGTATATTTTGAAGAATGCTAAAGACTTCAACCACTTGACATCCATAGAAGCAAAAAAAAAAAAACTTTGAAAGTCAGTGGTTACATGTTTTAGTTTGAAAATATTTGCGTTTTTGAAGAAACTCAGAGAGGTTGGGGAAAAGTTGGCGAACGTTTCACATTTTGGTGAACTATCCTTTCAGGAACATGTAACAGAACCCGCTGTTTTACTCAAATCAATCAGAAACAAACTGGAATAATAACAATAATCAGCTATGCTTTCTGTCATCTTGCCACTCTGAAGTCTGAGAAAAAAATTTGACTCTACAAAGTGAAAGACAACACTTCAACGCGTTTGCATCCGCACTCTCGTGTGTTTTGAATGGAAATGAATGGAACATTCAAGCGTAACGTGACAACACTTTGGGAAACCGAGATGATGGTGTTAATACGCCGGCGGGAAATATAAGAACTGTATATAAACAGCAATGATTTCATAGTATCTTTATGGATTATCAGCAATGTTATGTTAAGGAAATGCAGATTGTGTGTTGAAACATATTTGCATACTTTCAGAGTGACTGAGTTACCAAACCACAGAAGCGAAGATAGTCTTTGAATTGTTCAAACTATATCACATGCTCACATTCATTTCCTCTTCACTTAAACCGCACTGATATACCTCGAAGGGAGCTCAAATTAAACCGAATTTGTCGTCAGAAAGCAGTTCTACTTGCTACACTCACTTCAGGAATCGTTTTTCTTTTCTCTCAGTGAAATGAGGGCAATATTACTCCTTCAGCATCCGCAGAAAAAAAGCAAATGTTTCACTTTAAACAAACAAACAAAGAAGTAAATATAGACTTACTGGAACTGAAAGAAACCATGTCACTTTCATGTGTTCTTAACATGAGCTGCAATAATACAGCGGTTGGGTCATTCTATGCAGTACAGCTGAAGCATAGCCTGGAAGATTTTTTAGAAATATTATCAAGTCAAACTCAGGCATATAAAATGTAATTATAACTCGCATAATAGGATGGAAATGAAGAGCTAAAGTTAGTCATTGCTTGAAGAGACTGACTGCTTATATAAAGAGTTTCGACTTGAAGTGAAATTATGCAAATTTATGTCATGCTGTCATACACACACATCTGGACTGAGACAAACAGAATAATGCCACAAAACATGACAGAATTACTCAAATAAATCACTAATGCTGTTTTTCCTGCCCCAAACTATGTTATTTCCTAATGTCATTTGTTATGAAAACCGAGTGAAAAGAAGGATTGAAAATACAGCAACAAAAAAAGGTGAGTGGATGATAACTTCGTCCAAAAAATGTATATACAATGCCCAGCATATACCCCCCTTACAAATCTCTCTTTTAAATTAATATTTTTAATAGGAAGCTATAGACTATCATATCTGTGAATATACTGTACATAGATTAGTCAGTACTGAAGCCAAATCTGGAGCTTATCTAACAAAATAACTTAAAATAGCGGTCAAAATACTAGTAAACCCAAATTTATGTTATAGAAAAATATTAAATACAAATTTCAAGAGGAAAAATCAAGAGAAGCAAAAAAATTAAAAATTTTGTAAAAAATGTATAGTTTGTATTTTTATTTTTATTATTTTGCTTGAATTTTATTTTATTGTATTATCTTTTAATTTCTAAATTTGTTTGGCGACTAAAATATTACTTTAATAAATATATCTGTTTCAGAAAGGCTTTAAGACCAAGCGGAATCCTTTACTGGCTGTTGTGACTTCAGCTAACCAATTTAGTTCAATGCAAACAAATACTTTTTAATAAGTCAAACATCCAGCTGCAAGAAAACATAGGATCTGACATGGGTGAAGTCATCTTTTGCTGCTTTAATGTTCTTAAATAGAGAAAACAACTTATTCTAAATCTTGGACCGGTTACACTTTATTTTGATGGTCTATTTGAGTATTGCTGTATGCTTAATATCTGTTGTTGCTGCTTCTTCAACAGACATTTAACTGACTATAATAAATTTTGCAAGTACATGTTAACTTACACTAACCCAAATAACGATCTACTTATGATCTAATGAAAATTACCATCAAAATAAAGTGCAACCCTTAGACGTTATTCTTGAAACAAAGAATGACAAATAAAAGGTGTGAAGCATCAAAAGCGGCCCATATTAAAATTAATTTGAACACTTATTTGGCTGTTGTTGTAATCCCTGACTTGTCTTACATACTTTTTTTTTTTTTACAAAGAAGGCTAAATAAATTGTAAAGCTCTACATTGTTATTATAATTAATATAAAATATCATTAAAAAACATTATTATAAAATAATGTTTGAATTTTTTATCATTCAAATGGCCAAATTCTGAGGAAAGTTGAATGTGGGCCAATTTGTTATTTGTACAATAAATGACAAAAGGTCACACACTTTAACAGATTTTTTTTTTCTAACGATAAATGGGTAACACTTTACAATAAGGTTCATTAGTTAATACATTTACTAACATGAACTAATCGAGAACAACACATGTACAGCATTTATTAATCATAATTGAACATTTACTAATGCATTAATAACATCCAAGTCCATGCTTGTTAACATTAGTTAATGCACCATGAGTTAACATGAACTAACAATGAACAACTGTATTTTCATTAACTAACGTTAACTAACATGAACAAATACAGTAGTAAATGTATTATTCGTTGTTTGTTCATGTTAGTAAATGCAATCATTAACATTAACTAATGAACCTTATTGTAAAGTGTGACTGATAAATGATGTGATAAATTAGCATTTTAAAAATTAAGTGTTGTTTTCATATTTCTTTATCGTTTATCTTTAGGAAATTTTTTGGTACATCAAAAAGTTTTAATCCAGCTTAAAATGTCACTAAAATGCAGTATTTAAATCTCATAATTAAATAGAAAATGAGGCAAATAACTGCAAAAAAGGTCCGCTTTTTGAGAAAAGAGAACCACCCCTTTCCCCAGGCTGGCTACAGGCCTGTTACATAAGCAAAAACTGGAGCTAACCTAACAAATTAACTTGAGATCATGTTGGAAAAATTTTTGAATATGTTAAAATATATATTTTAAAAAGAAAATAAACCTAATAAGGCAAAAAAAAAAGAGTAACATAAAATAATACATTTTGTTTACATTTTTATTTTCATTTTAAATGAATTATCTTTTTATCCTTTAATCAAACTTTTATTTTAATGGATATAATAAAACTGCCATTAAACCTGCAAAAATATGTTTACTGAGAACAATAAAAATTATATTTTTTAAAATGAGGTGTACTGATTTATGCTGTGCACTATACATGAAATAATTGGCAGCATTTAATTAAATAAATGTTATATAAATTAATTTATTCATTTAATGTATGTAAATGTAAACTAAATTAAAACCAATTTTGTTCAAAATACATTGTAAAAAAAATAACATCCACTCACATTTTTAGCAAATATTTTAAATTAACCCACTTAATCATTAAACTCAGATCAAATTTTAATCCCATGAATTAATACAGTCATGAATATTTGCCACATAACGGGAATGACCCCTTTCTGAGTATGCTAAAAGTCTACAAGAACTGGAGCACATCCCTGATGACGCCATATTTCTATTAAAAAAAAAGTAAGTACGTTTCGAGAATACTGAAAGCAGTGAATGCCAAATGTAAACACTTTGATTAAATAAATATATTGGCATAGCTTTAATGAGCAATAACACTTCGTACACAAAAGTACTTTCTTTTTTTTTCCTTTTCTCTCTTATTTGGTCAAACATGTGGTGATGCACAGATGACATTCTGGTCCCGAACATACAGTACGTGGCTGTGCACGGTATGATGCAAACAGATACATTCCACTGAGCCATTAAGCATAACATAAATAACAGTTTGTACAGGACGAGTATCAGGCTGTGATCAAATGCAAAAAAAAAATAAAATACATCAAACGTCTTTGGCAGTGATTTATATTTTGGGCACTGTCAATAATGGCCTGCTCAAATCCTTGGCCTCGCCGGCCGTGCGAACTCGTAGATATCCCAGCAGAGACATGGAATGCTGACAGTATTCTTCCACCTGTCTGATCTGTTGATAGTTGAGCACAGTTCTCCAGGCGTTAGCCGCCTGCGTGGCGTTCCTGGAGGACACGATGAATGGTTTGGTGGAGGCACTGGGTCCTGTTGTCATGTTCATGGCAAAGATCTCAATGTCGTGATTGGCTGAAAGATTCACAAATCGATAAACATTCCTAACAGATCTGACTGGGTTCTCCACCAGGTCCTCGTAGCGCACCGTCATGTATTTGCCTTTGAACCAGCTGGGCGGGTGAAGAGCAGTTTTCAGCGTTTTGGACATTTGTTCGCAGATCACCTCCATGGCTCCGATGGAGTGGTAATCTGAACCGTCTTTTTTGTTCATCTTGTGGTTGGGGTCCACGAATGGCACGCGACGAAGCTTGGGGTCTCTGCTGCGCACCACTTGCAGATTCTCCCGAATGAGTCCATGTCTTGATTTAATCCTGGAGTTAGCCACCGCCCGTGGATCTCGGACCAAGTGGACGACTTTCAGATTGAGCGAGGGGTCCTCCATCAGAGGCGCTAGAATGTTGACGTCCAGAATGCGCACTCCCTTTATCACGATGGTGTTGTATTTTAAGCACTCCTCCTCTAACATCTGAAGACTCTGCGGAGGACACTTTCTGCAGATCTTCTCATCCACCATTCCCACCACATCCTTCCTGTAGGATGAGCAGAATGGGTAGGAGCAGATGACTTTATTGATGGCGGCCCCGAAAAGTCCCAAAGAGGTTATGTTCTTCCCTCCAGGGCTGTTGTACAGCTGAAAAACTGAGAAGTCACACCTGTAAAGGGAGCTTAGCATGTCCCGGGCTGCTCCTTGTAGGGAGACAGCGTCCCCCGGGTATAGCTTTTGCCAAATGTGCCACATAGGCTCATACAAGAAAAACACATCAGGGTTTTGGTTGAAGAGCTCCCCGAAAAAGGATGAGCCAGACCTCCAAGTGGTCAACACATACACCAGCTGCCTTTTCTTGACCTGCGGGGCTTTATAAAGATAGCGGATGTCTGATCTGCTTTGGAAGTTCACTCCCTGCATTGGCTGACTGCACTGCTGAGGCTCTTTGGTCCATTTGTAGTTAGCCAGGTTCAGCATGGTCAAAGCCACCAGCAGAAAATAGGCCAGAAACATGATGATCTTCTTCCGCCGTAGCACTTTCATCACAATCCCTGGGTTGGCTATTATTTTGGTGTGGCTCCTCGCGCAAGGCTTGTGTTTCCTTCCAAAGCCAGCATTCTTCTCCCATGGTGGTGTGAATTTTAGAGGGTAGGGTTTGTTTTTCATTTATGACACAGGCGAATCGGGGATGTCCTAAACACAGCTGCGGAGAATCACACGCGCCGACGATGGCATAGAGAGAAGCGTGACATCTGCCCCAAGCCCATGCAATCGATTATCGATTAGGTGGTGCGTGGGAGAGGAGGGAATGCCCGACGCTCCAAAACACTAGACGAAATGAAAACAAACCGCACCGCAATGCGCAGGGTTTCATTCGGATGCGAGGCAGCGGATGCCGTTCGTAATATTTAACGGGTTTGCAATGCAAAGTCAAGCTTATTTCGTTTGCTTACCGATGAAACGCGGCGGGGGGATTCATCCCGTTATCACAGCTCGTCCGGGCCACGAGCTGGGCTAAAATGGCGATATAGATGCGTGCGCGACCATTTGAGTGCCAGCACGTAATCACGTAGTTCATTTTAAATGCGAAAGAACCAAAAGAAAAGGCATCTCCCCTCGGAGTGGTACCTCTGTTGTCCGGGCGTACGCTATAACTAATTGGTACTGCACGAAGTCAATGGCAGCAAAGGGAGCAAAAGATCCGCCTCCTGTAAGCGCTGATTGGTGGAAGGACGAGCGTCTTGGCGCTTTCTTTTGACGCTATTGGGTCTTCCTAACGCCAGTCAAAGCTTTCCGCTCACATAGACTGCTACATAGCAACATGATGCACTATAAATCATAAAGAAGTGTGATATTTGTCCATTAAAGCGCACGGGTTTTGTCTGAAAAATTAAGGGGAATGAATTTGAATATACAAATCTTTACATATTTAAAGACATATTTATTTATAGACACTATTTAGATGAGCAAGATTTAAAGGGAAGTGTTATACTTATTACATTAATATTGCACTTTATATATTAATATATTAACCATATGAGTACTGTCTATATGATATAATACTGTATATATGGTATACTAGTGTCTATAATGTGGTTTGTGTCTGTGTGTGTTATTTATTTATATTTTTTTACTAATTAACCTTTGCTCGTGAGGATTCCCTTCGTTTTAAAGGTTGCAAACCCTGTATTAAACAACGATTAATTGTGATTAAATCAGTGTAAGCAGAAATTTGTTACGTAATTTGAGAACAATGACATAGTGATAGTTAATTCAATACAAATAACCAAACAATGCCCGTTCTGCTAACTGCTAGTTAGCGGCTAGCGCCACCTGCTGCTGGTTTTCCACTATCTGTTTTAGTTCTCTCTGCCTATTATTTTACATTAAACCATTAATGAACAATAACAAGACGTTGGTACATAAAAAACAAGGAAAAATTCTGCTGTCTCACGTTGTGTTTGTGAAAGTAGATTTGGATAATACATTAGGCAGTTGCAGCAGCGCATTAGGCTGGAGTTCTGCCACATTGCTTTAGGCAACTTAGAATTTGTATTGTGTGGGATTGTGGGAATGTTTGTTCAAGACTGAACACTATTTGGGCAATACAGACTTGTTTCTCTTACTTTGTTTCTAGTTTATTCTTTAGAAGGCCGTGATGCTGTGCTCACCACTAGTTTATTCGCCTTGATCAGTGTGTGATCTTCATGCAGTTTGTAGCAACTGTTTATCCGTGGATTGTTGTCTGCTCTTTCAGTTATCCAGAAGAAAGCCATGGCGCTCATCACCAGAGGACTCCACAGGATATTCTTGTGGACCAAAAGACAAAATAGTACAATTACAGGTGAGATAAATGTTGTTCTTCATAGTTTTATTGTAAACTAATGCTATTTTCCTCTTCAATGTGGCATCAACTAAACTTAATTTGGCTAAATTCTATTTTCAAATGCTTTCTATATGTGTATCACAGGTTATTAGTTATACTGTAATCTGATATTATGCTGCTAATGGCATTTAAAAAAAGTGTGTTATGCTGCCTTATTTATTTATTTATTTATTTACCATTAACTAATTCATCATTTTAATATATTATAATGATGTTTGTGCTCAACAAAATACTAATACTAAAAATAAAAACATTTCTACTAACTTGCTCTTTACTTAAATTAACAAGAAGTTGAGCTAGTTAACTCTGTTTCCACAAATGTTTTGTGTATTTGTGTAACTTATTGCAGTTCAGCCGCAGAAGTATAAAGCAATAGCAATTAGCATCCTAAAATTTATTGGTATATATTTTTTTGTCCTGTAATTATACCATTACTTTCTGTTTGTTCTTAATGGAACACTCCATTTTGGGGGGTAAATAGGTTCATTTTACAACTCCCTTGGAGTTTTGCTATTGCCAAGATCACTTTTAGCTTAGCTTAGCAATTGGAATAGATCATTAGCATCTTACAAAAAAAGGAAAAAAAACATATATATATATATATATATATATATATATATATATATATATATATATATATATATATATATATATATATGAATAAGTTTCCTCTTTAAAGCTTGATTGTTCTGCAGTTACATTACTAAGAAGACTATCTAAAAGATGAAAGTTTCTTTTTGTCTAGGCCGATTTAGCTAGGAACCGACGGAAAAAATGAAAGTTGCTATTTTTGGTTCGGAACTACACTCTCATTCTGGCACAACAATCAAGGAATTTGAATAGCAACTTTTACTTTATCTTACACAGTACATGATGTAACTACAGAAGAGTCTAGCTTTAAATAACCTTTTAACTACCCCACCAAGAACAACTTAACTCCTATTGTTGCTAGATAACACACTTTTGGCACATTCTTTTCAACACATCATTTCTAAAAAATCAGCCTCTACCAAATGGTTGATATGTCAGTTTAAGGTTTAATGCATATACTATGAAAAATCTGAAAATATGAAGTGTAAGACCAATTTATTTCTAAAAATATTCAAAATAAAACATTTCTGAATACCTAATCACCTTTTTGAAGTGTGCCATAAATATTTCAGATTCTCAGTTAACATGTTTTCTTGTTTTTTCTTAACAATAAAACCAAAATCAATTGTAGTAGTGCAGATGTTTATTTTATTATTATTATTTTTAAACCAACAATGCATTATTCAAAACAGTCATTCTTTAAATGACTTTAACAGTCATTATATAAAACAGTAAAAACATGGTCAACCATTTGGGAAAGCGGCAGTGAAAGGGATAAGAAAATTTGCTTTCCCTTAATCCTAAAACAGCTGTGCTAAACACAAATGGAAAATAATACAATTAAACTAGTTTTGTTTAAGCCGGTTGTTTACGCACTACTCATTTTTTCATGTTTGTTGAATAATGACACCAACAGAGACTTTATCGATATGCAGTAACCAGACAGTGCATTCATATGCACATGCAGTTGAAGTCAAAATGATTTGCCCTCCTGTTATTTATTTATTTTTCTTCTTTTTCAAATATTTTCCAAATGATGTTTAACAGAGCAAGGAATTGTTCATAGTAATTCTCATAATCCTTTTTCTTCTGGAGAAAGTCTTATTTGTTTTATTTCAGCTAGAATAAAAGCAGTTTTAAATTTTTCTTTAAAGCCTTTTAAGGTCAATATTATTAGCCCCCTAAAGCAATATATATATATATATTTCGATTGTTTACAGAACAAACCATCATTATACAATGATTTGCCTAATTACCCTTACCTGCCCAATTAACCTAGTTAAGCCTTTAAATGTCACTTTAAGCTGAATACTAGTATCTTAAAATATTTATTTAAATATTATTTACTGTCATCATGGCAAAAATAAAAAAAAAAAAATCAGTGATTAGAGATGAGTTATTAAAACTATAATGTTAAGAAAATCTTCTCTCTGTTAAACAGAAAATGAGGAAAAATATACAAGGGGGCTAATTATACAGAAGGGTTAATTATTCTGAATTTAACTGTACATCACCTTAAGTAAACTTATTTAAAAAAAAAAAGGAAATGATCTTTGGCATGTTTAATCTACATCCTGTTGCAAGGATGTAAGAAATGTGGAAACTGATCCTCTTTTCAGAGCGATCAATAATGCAGGTGGACACCCCAAGGCTGATGAGTCTCTTAAAGGAGTCAGTGCTGTATTGGGTATCAGTGAAACATTCTTAGGCTTTGAAACGGACGCTTTCCAGCCAGTTGGTTCATTTGAGATATTTTACTAAGAAGGCTTTTTTAACATTAGGAGAGCAGAATCAGCATTTTTTTTTTTTTATTATGGACAGCTCATAGATATTTTAGTCCATGGCAATTGTTGACTGGATCTCTTAAAAAACAGGAAGTGAGGAGATTTGTGAGCGGTAAGTTGATAACGTGTGCCATTTTAAGAGCTTGTTTTACTGACTCTGCTTGAATAAGAGTGCCAATGATGAACTGCCAATCTCCTCTTTTTCTTTTGGTTATTTTTTCCAAACTTTTATTCATTTTCTCCGTATCAGATCAAAGACATGACCTGCATGATACTGTCTTTATTTTAATGATGTAACAATATATATTTTAAAAAATCCTTATTTTTCATAGTGGTTTGAAAGTCCAATAAACAAATATATTCAGCAATTTTTTATTATTTTATTATTTTTAAAAGTTTTATTTTACTTATTATACTTTACTTTGTATATACTTTGTATCTGTATATATTTTAAAGTTTTTAATTTATTATCCTGCTAATTTTGTAGTGTGTTTTACTTTAGTTTGTTTTTTTTACTTTTTTTTTAAGGTTTCATTTCATTTTGCTGTGCATTGTTTTAAGTATTTTGTGTGACTTATTGTGTTTCAGCAGTAATTAACAATAGCAATTAGCATGCTAAAATTTATTAGTGTATATTTGTATCCTGTAATTGTACTATTACTCTCTGTTTGGAGGCACACTCCACTTTTTGATATTTTACAACTTCCCTATATAGTTAGTTAGTTAGTTAGTTAGTTAGTTAGTTAGTTAGTTAGTTAGTTAGTTAGTGGGTTTTATAACTTTTTTAATCCATTCAGCCAATCTCCGGGTCTGGCGAGAGCACTTTTAGCTTAGCATAAGTCATTGAATCGGATTAGACCATTAGCATCTGGCTCAACAACAACAAAAGAGTTTAGATAGATTTTCTCTTTGAAGCTTGACTGTTCTGTAGGGACATTGTGTACTAAGGCAAACAAAAACAATATAAGTTGTTATTTTCTATATAGAAACTACAATCTCGTTCTGGTGCAATAATCAAGGAACTTTAATAGTAACATTTCATTTTCTGTTGGTCTTGGCACACTTTTATTTTGAACTTTATATTTTGCAGAATTGTTTTTATCTCAACAAATTATTTATAGTTTACTATACTATACCAGTGGTTATTTTTTGATGGCTGAAAAAAAACATAAGTTGATTTTTTAAATATTATATATTATTATTATTAATATTATTATTTTATCCTGTTACTTTTGTAGTGTGGTTTGTTTATATATTTATTCTATTCTATTTCTGCATTTCAATTAGTTTTGCTGTACATTGTTTCAGTATTGAATAATAATTATTCCATTTTATTTCACTGTTTATTATCTATACTGGGCATCACGGTGGCACGTTGGCTAGCACGATCGTTT